TCCTTTGTAGTTCCTGTCTGGAATTCTAGTCCAATCATATACTTAAAGAATCATCTCCAAATGGTTTTCATTTTGCACTGGAAATTCAATTCTTAGATCCCTCAAAGTCAGTAACACTGTTAAGCTATTAACAACCAGCCTCTGACAAAAATTTGGAAATAGTTTCAGCTATTCCAAATTGACAGCATATGAGTTGCTTTTATTTTGTATTTGTTTTTAAAACAGTTAGGGGAAGTTTGGGAAAAAATAATGCATTAATAAAATGGTTCCCTTTAAATAGACTATTCTATAATTTTATCAGTGAATACATAAAATAATCTATGATATTTTATTTATTTGGGAGCCTAAGAAGACAATGTTTTGTGTGTTTATTTTCTAACATTAGGAACTGACTGTCCATTTTGGGTTCACCGCATTATTGAAATGGAGTTGAATTAAAACATATTTTTCTTTTCTAACCGTACTATACTTTTTCATCCAAAGGACCCATTTTTTTCCTCTTTCCCATTCTTATTTTAAACTCTTGTTTCCAAAAGAATCATGGAATCATAGAGTAGTTTGGGTTGGAAGGGACCTTAAAGATTATCTAGTTCCAACACCGCTATCAGGGTGGGACACCTTACACTAGGCCAGGTTGCTCAGAGCCTCATCCAACCCAGCCTAGAAGACCTGTGGGGATGGATGGTCCACAACCTCTTTGGGCAATCTGTTCCAGTGCCTCACCACCCTCACAGTAAAGAATTTCTTCCTAATGTATAATCTAAACCTACCTGCCTTCAGCTTAAGACCATTTCCCGTTGTCCTGTCATTACATGCCCTTTCAAAAAGTCCCTCACTAGGCTTCTTGTAAGCCCTCTTTAGGTACTGGAAGGCTGCTGTAAGGTATCCCTGAAGCCTTCTTTTCTCCAGGCAGAACAGCCTCAACTCTCGCAACCTGTCTTCACAGGAGAGGTGCTCCAGCCCTCTGATCAACTTAGTGGCCTTCAATATCTTTCTTGTGCTGAGGACCACAGAGCCAGATGCAGTGTTCCAGTTGGGATCTCACAAGAGCAGAGTAGAGGGGAGGAATCACCTCCCTTGACCTACCAGCTGATCATGCTTGTTTTGATACAGCCCAGGATACAGTTGGCTTTCTGGGCTGCAAGTGCGCGTTGCCAGGTCATGTTGAGCTTCTTGTCCACAAACACTCCCAAGTCCATTTACCCAGGGCTGCTCTCAATCCATCCTCTGCCCAGCCTGTATTTCTGCTTGGGATTGCCCCAGTCCAGGTGCAGCACCTTGCACTTGGCCTTGTTGAACTTTCTGAGGTTTGCAGAGACCCAGCTCTCAAGCCTGTCAAGGTCCCTCTGGATGACATATCCCTTCCCTCCATTGTGTCAACCGCACCACACAGCTTGGTGTCATCAGCAGACTTGGTGACAGTTTAGGAAATCCCATTGTCCACGTCAGTGATAGAGATACCAATACGGACAACCTGAGGAAGAAGAAAGGAAACAGACAATTCTATATCTGTTCCTTGACTTTAAAGATTAGTATTATTTTGTTACTTCTTTCCTTTCTCTCTGTGGTATCATTGAAACATCATTAAACATTTGAAGCTGGTGGGTATGATTTGAAAAAAGAATTGAAGTTTTTTTAACCAAAAATTTTAAGTTTTTGAAGTAAAGGAATGCAGAGCTTTCAAAATCAGGTCTATATTTTCTCTTGCTATATAAGGAAATCCCTTATGATTCTGACATCTATGGAAGAGGAGGAAGCTACATAATACTGTTTTTAATAACTTTTGTCACTACTTTTTCCTACTTTTCACTTTTCCCCTTTTAGAAACACAGACCAAATGAATTTTTTTTTAAGTAACTCATGTAGAAAGTTTGTATTATTTTTGTGTTTGTTTGTGCATTGGTTTTATTGGTTTTATTTTCTTCACACCTTTATCTCTTCAGGAAGTGGGAATAAAGATCTGTCCTATATTTTCCATTTGATAAATCCACAATGTATCTTGCTGCAGTAGTCTAATCTTCTACAGAAGAGCAGCTGCATTTCCACAGCATTTCATCTGTGGACAGCCTACCAGAATGCTGCCATTTCACATGTCCAGCAGTCCCACACACAACTGATTCTTTGGAGTGAAATGAGAAAATCTAATCAGTACTAAAAAAATTACAAGTCACCAAAAAAAAAAAAAAAGGCACATTGATTTGTAGAAATAAAAGATTCTTACAGAATATCCATTTATCCAACAGTCCCATAAGCAAGTTTTGGTGGAACTGCATCTTTCACCTTTCACCAAGCAAAACAAACAAAAACAAAATGTTGATACATGATACTGCAGTTTTCTTTTAACCTTTTAACAGTTGTAGCAGGGATATGAGTTTTTCTACTTTTCATATAATTAACTAGCATGCTGCAATTTTCCTCTATAATTGGGATACTTAACTGTATGATCTCCTGCTGTTTTAATGATTTGCATCTTCCCATGTATTGTTTTTTTCTTGCTGAATCTCTACTGTTATTACACTAGAAGCTTGTACAGTCTTTTATGGTGAACTTGCCACTGGCTGCCACAACAGAGGAGCCCCGAAGAAAAGATACAAGGACTCCCTGAAACAACACCTCAGCCTTGGCCATATTGATCAACATAACTGGTCTACTCTGGCCTCAAATCGGGAGGCCTGGAGACACGCCATCTATAACGCTGCTGCTTCCTTTGAGAACGCACGCAGGATCAACCTTGAGGAGAAAAGGCAACGCAGAAAGAACCATGTCTTGCAGAATACACCATCTAAGGAGTCTTTCTGCTGTGCCTTTGCAATCGGATATGTCTGTCACGTATTGGCCTCATAAGCCACCAGCGTGCCTGTAACAAATGTGGATAGAGCCTTCCCAAATCTTCGTTCGCGAAGCCTAGCCATGATGATGATGATGTACAATCTAGACTCTTTTTGCTACTGCTTTACTATTCTCATTTCCTCTTTGTTTAGCTGATGAAAATAAGAGCTCTGTGCTTAGAGTGAGCATTTTCCCTTTGTTACCTGTTTAACAGCTCTTATTGTATAACTGGTCTTTTGCTAATATGCTTAACAGACTTCACACTGACCTACATAATACTGCTTTATGCCACATGTTGGCCTTTTATATATATATATATATATCTGTAGTCAAGGAAATATTTCTTAATGATAAACTTAGAAGCACTGGCAGTTTGAGTTTTCATGATGTTTCTAGTACAGCTTGATCTTCCTTTTATTTCTTCATCACATTGTCACCGTTAGACATGTCTTGGGATTCTGGGAAATCTTCTATGATGTTCCTCTGCTGCGGAGAGTGGTAGGATAGCAAAAATCAGTTCATAAAGATTTTCGATGAGGTAGGAACAGAATCTCTTTCTGTCAGTAAATACGTAAAATAAAATGGTAGGTAAAATACCAAGACTGGTTATAAGTGGGATGCATTGTGTGAAAGGGGTCTTTGTTGTAGAAAGAAATTCAATGTTCAACATGAAACCTGAACACTCAAATTTGAAATTACATGGCTGACAAACTTCCCCAGGATTATTTTGACAGTCTTTCCTTTAAAGTTCAGCATATACCAGTACATACTATATAATTAACAGTCTTTACATTTGCAATGCTAGTGTAAATGTAGGCTGTCTTTTTAATAGAAAGTTTTCTTAATTTTGAGATGAAAATGTTGCTGTGGTAGTGGACTGTGGCATGAAAATTGAAAAATTCTCCCATAACTATATTGTTGCAAGAACAGTGGTGAACAGTTCTCATTTACTACTCATTTACTACTTGATCTCAAAAGATGATATTTTTTAAGTGAATGAAGTTGTGACACATAAACTAATTCAGTTAATCCACAGTGTACCATAAACTTAGTAAACAATCAGCTGTCATTTAATGAAACTTAATCAAGAAACAATCTGCTCACTCTTTCTTTTTTTTTTTTTTTTGTGTGCGGTGTTCGCATTGTTGTTATTTTAATTATTATTGTTAATAATTATCAGTATTATTCTCTTTCTTTTATTTCTATTATTCTTCACATTTTCATGAAGCTCATCTATTCACCATTCCAGTTAGTGAAATTTTTGGAATGGTATCAGGGAAACTCCTTAGTCTTTCTATCTAAATTTACCACTAAATTGCCTTCTAATATTAGCATAAATATTATTTTTGTCAAAACATGCCATTCTGCCTATGGGTTGGGCTAGAGTACTGTATTTTGACATAATGTCCAAACATCAGTTAAGGGAAATCTACTAGTGGAATTCTGAAATTATTACTACTGATACTCTTAGAAAGACAGTTTGTCTAGTGTCTGATCTATCTGTTTGTAATGGTATTGCTTGAAAACAGTAATCATCAGCCCGAGATTGTCCCTTAAGTAATTTTTTAAATTATTTATCTAGAATCTTGGGGAACAGCTTATACTTCAGCTGATGTTTGTGACAGTGGAAGGAGGTAAACTAGAGTCATTGTCAGGAGAACCAGGTCAAAAAGTTGTGTTCATTTGGTTACTGACAGAATAGCTGGGATAGAGGGAAGAGGAAAAAATCAAAATGCAAGGAAAGGTGGAAGTAAAGAGATAGGAGTAGGCTAAAGGATGGTGTTGTAAGTGGAAACAATGTAGCTATGTCATAAACCTGTCACTTATTTTCAGCACCGATACCCTAGAACATTATAGCATTTGCTGTTGTATATAACAAAGTGATTTGTGTTTCTCCTTCTGCAAACATATCATCCTAGTGAACAGTACAGTACCTTAGTAGAATTGCCCATGAGAATGTTTTAGCTAACTGAATATAACTTTGTAAACAGTGAGAAATGCAGCTTTCATTAAAACAAGAAGGTGAAACATTGCAAACTCATTTCATTTTATGGCTAACAACTATTTTTTAACTCAGGGTAATTATCTTGACTATGGGAAGGGGAAATACACTCATATTCATAGTTTTCTGGTTTGTTCTAATCTATTTATGCTTTTATTTTTAATCATAGGTTTCTGTGCTCGAGAGGCAGATATTTGACTTCCTTGGTTATCAGTGGGCACCTATCCTGGCAAATTTTATACATATTATTGTAGTCATACTTGGCTTATTTGGAACCATCCAGTATAGACCTCGTTACATAACAGGAGTAAGTACTGAATTTCATTTGCTTATTCTGATGTGCATGTATAAAACAAACAAACAAAACAGCGCTCCAAATTGTATTGCTCATAAAGCAAATAGAAATCTCATCTTGGATTAATTTTCTTCTGTAACATTTTATATTAACTTATGCTTTTGGGACATGTGCAACACAACTGGTAACTACCTACAAAAGCTGAAAGTCAATATGATCCTTAACTGCATGACAATACAAACTTTCAAGAAGTAGAGTCAGTTTAAGAAATTACAATATCCTCACTATTAGAGGAATTTAGAGCTAGAGTAAATGCTAGCCATAACTTTCCTATATACATTGGACTTCCTCAACAGAGCCATGATTTATTATAGTTACTCATTATTGTTATTAACCATTGTTGTTAGAGTGCCTATCTGTTATCTATATGCCTCCTAGAAGTTATAGTCCAACCTGAAAATGAAATGTGATGGTACGGTAAGAAATAATGAACTGAGGTCTCCAATATGAAAGTAAGAATTTGGACCTTAATTAATATTTTTTATCCATTTCTTTCCTTATTCAGCTACCTCTCATACAAAGACTTAGTATGCCTGTACTCGGGCACAATGCAGTATTAATTTAATCCTCATTTCATTCTCTGACTTTATGGGGGTTTTGCCATTTGTAGTTCTATAAAGAAAGAATAACAGCAACTTTTAAAGCCATCATTCAGAACACCTTCTGTTAGAAATAGATTTATATAACAATATTACTGTCAAAATCAACTATTAATTCACTTAAAGGTTGTATACATTTCAGAGACAGACAAGAGTTGAAAAGATTTTCCCATACATAACCATATTTTCATGTCAGATGAAAATTAGGAAATCTTAGAACAATAGAATGATTTGGGTTGAAAGGGAGCTTAAAGATTGTCTGGTTCCAGCCCAGCAGGGACGCCTGCCACTAGACCAAGTTGCTCTAAGCCCCATCCAACCTGGTCTAAAACACTTCCAAGAATGAAGCATCCACCACTTCTTTGGGCAACATGTTTCAGGTTCTCACCAGACTACAGTAAAGAATTTTTCCTAGTATCTAATCCAAACCTATTCTCTTTCAGTTTAAAGCCATTACCCCTTGTCTCCAGTAACTCCACTGAATCTGCACCTACTTCTGCAAAGTCTGTTTCTTCTTATCTGTTTCCTCATATACCAGCAGTTACTCAGAATATAGAAAGATTTCACTTGTATTCTCTGTTACCATCCATATTGCATTACTTTGATGATAAGAGAAGTACATTAATATTTTTGTCTGTGTTTCTATCTCTGTGATCTCCTATATGCAGAAAATGTGTGTCCACATGTGCAATGTCTTTATGCATGCACAAAATTTAATGTATTCCAAAAAATTTACCATCAATATTGAAAAATATATTGCAAGCCTTAAATATTTCATGTTTCCTTCAAGTTACGACACTGGAGTCATGAGAATGTGAACTAGAGTTTTCTTCCATTTCTGGTACTTTGACGAGTACTAAAAACTTGAAAATAAATATCCAAAATTCAAATATCAGTTAAAGAAAAAGGGTTAAATGTTCCATCCCAAGACTATTCTGTGGCATAAAACTGATCGTGAATGTAAAATGCATAGCTGAACTAAACAAGTTAGATTTAAATGACCTACTACTATGATAAGTGCATTGTGAATGAGGAGGAATACCAGCCTTATAAATTGAGATCATTTGCGTAAGTTTCTGGATGATGTGGTTTGTGCAACACTGTTCTATTAATTTTCATATAAATCTTTCCCAGAACTCACCTTCACTGTGTAACCCATCTGGCTTTGTGCGTTTGCCTCTCTGCATCCTTTTGGTGAATTGGATAGAACCAATCTAAGATCAAATTGTTTTTCTTGCTCGGAGTTTATAATAGACACTTGAATCTGCCATTTATCACAGACTGCTTAGATAAAAAAACACTGATGAAATTTTTATCCTTTATTTAGTTGGATAAACAGAGGAGTGCTTTAATTTTTTTCATTTTTATTGCGGTTCTCTTTGGTCATTGAAGGGAGAGAGAAGGGAACTGCACCCTTTTATTTAGTTGTGTTGGGCCCAGAATAAATCAGTGGTGTCATCTGATATCAGGAATAAAGTTATGAGTTCAAAGGCAACAAGAAAGACAACAACCTATAAGCCTGCAAGGGTGTAGCTATGAGGTTTTCAGGAGAGTGTGTGTAAATACTCAGAGTTCAATAGATTCTGCAAGGGTCAATCTATCTTGAGTGACTCTACAGAACCCTTAATCCAGTCACATTAGTACCTCAAGTCTAGCTTGCTTCAACAAGACTACAGAAAATTTCCTTTTTACTGTACATGCTTCATAAAGGATATCACAAAAATATTTTCCAGTGGAAGTGAATTATAGGTTAAAGAGAACAGGGAGATTTTAAGGTGAGGTTTAAAGAAATGATTCAGTGGCTTAGGGAGAAGAGGAAATAAATTTCAGACAGATGGAACACCACAACTGAAAGTGTCTCCTTGAACTTTCAAGAATGTCAGGGAAGTTTAGAAGTGGATGAGGGAAAAAGGTGACTGTGTCTTCTCAGGCACTGGAATATAGTTCAAACTACATGGGGTTCAGTAGTTGTGGTGGACAAAGAGGACAGGAAATTAAAGTCTAATATCATGAAAGTGCTTAATCTTAATACAGATTCAGAAAGAACACATTGATTTTTGATTGTAAACTTAAGCCATAAGCCAATAAATGAGGAATTGATGCAGGAGGTGAAACATCTGTTCTGAGGGTGGGAATAAGTCTTTTCAAAGGTATCTTTTCAAAAGATTATAATTAAGCCATTTTTTGGTGAAAACAATTATGACAAAAGGACTGCTTAACAGCACTAATCTGAAACAGAGAATGAGGATTCCAGTAGGAACAAGGATTATCCAGGGTAACAACTATGATGTAAATGTGGTGGCTTTTAGCATTAAAGTGCCTGAGAGGTAATACCAATGCAAGTTTTTAAGGGTTCTGGAAAGAAGCAAAGCACTTCACCTGGATAGGGCTCCACCTGGAGGCTCAGTTTCTCCCCATTTCTTCTATAGAGGGATTACAGCTATGTTGATATGCTGAGTGCATATTCCATATTCTACTATGGATTATTAGTCACCTGACTAATCTAGTGACCTTCTACAATGGAGTGACTGCATCAGTAGACAGGGGAAGAACTATGGATCTAATCTATCTAGACTTCTGTAAGGCTTGTGATGTGGTCCCCCACAACATTCTGCCTACTAAATTGGAGGAGTGGGTTAGATGGATAAGGAAGTGGCTGGATAGCTTTACCCAGAGAATGAAGTGGGTGGCTCAGTGTCATATTGGAAATCAGTAACAGGTGGTACTGGGATCAATAGTATTTAATATCTGATTTCCAATATAACATTGAGCCACCCACTTTACTAGACAGTAAGACTGAATACACTCTCAACAAGTTTGCAGATGACACCAAGCTGACTGATGCACTTGATTAACTGGAAGAAACAGATGTCGTCCAGAGGGACCTGGACACCACTGAACCCATGTGAACCTCATGAAGTTCAATAAGGTCAAGTGCAGGGTCCTGCCCCTTGGTCAGAGCAATCCTCGATATCAGTACAGATGAATGGATGAATGGATTGAGAGCAGCCCTACAGAGGACTTGTGGGTACCGGTGAACAAAATTAAACATAAGCCAGCAATGTGCGCTTACAGCCCCAAAAGCCAATTATACCCTGGGCTGCATAAAAAGAAGCATGAGCAGCAGAAAGAGGAAAGTGATTCTCCCCCTATACTAAACTCTTCTGAGACACCACCTGGATCACTATGTCCAGCTCTGTTGCCCACAGTACAAGAAAGACATGGACCTGTTAGAGCAGGTTCGGAGGAGGGCCATGAAAACAGTCAATGGGATGGAACATCTCTCCTATGAAGACAATCTGAGAGAGTTGGAGTTGATCAGCCTGTAGAAGAGAAGGCTCTGGGAACACCTTATGGCAGCCTTTCAATATATAAGGGGGACTAATAAGAAAGACAGAGGTCCTTTTACCAGGGCCTGTACTGACAGGACAAGGAACAATAGGTTTAAGCTGAAAAGGGTAGGTTTACATTGAACATAAAGAAGAAAATATTTACAATGAGAATGGCAAGACACTGGAATAGATCTACCAGAGTAGCTGGGGATGCCCCATCCTTGGAAATATTCAAGACCAGATTGGATGGGGCTTTGAGGAACCTAATCTAATGAAAAAGATTTTTGCCCATGGCAGGGGACTAAATGACCTTTAAAGGTCCCTTCCAGCCTTGTACCTGGTAACATTAAGTCTGGGAGAAAAGAATAGATTATTACTGGTACATGATATGCATTAAAAAAAAAAAAAAAAAAAGAGAAAGAGGCAATTACCTTATGTCTGAGCATCATCAGTCTGCCAAACCATTAGGCACTTGAGAGTATAGCTGAGTTAATCCATATCTTTTTAAAGTCTAGACATTTTCAATCTCTCAACACACCTAGGGGGATCTACTTAATGCCCTATATAAAAAGTAGCCCTGACTCTACCAAATCTGTTTTGGAGTATTTCAGTTGTATATTGTAGTCACAGAATCACAGAATCAACTGGGTTGGAAAAGACCTCAGAGATCATCAAGTGCAACCGCTTCATCCAACACTACCATGGTTACTAGACCATGGCACTAAGTGCCACATCCAGTCTCATCTTAAAAACCTCCAGGGACAGTGAATCCACCACCTCCCTGGGCAGCCCATTCCAATGTCTGATTACTCTCTCTGTAAAAAATTTCTTCCTAATATTTAACCTAAACCTCCTCTGGCATAGCTTAAGACCATTTTAATTGGTAATTTATTATCTTCCATTTTTATAAATGTTTAAAATAGGATGTGAAAATGTGTGGCAGTTCATCTGTCCTATGTACATACCAGGGGACTTTTAAACAACTGTAATCATGCCATAGAAAATTGTGAAGCCAAACCAT